TKKTTTTTTAAATGACTTGTCTCTCTTCCWTTGTAAATTTATTCCCTGGCTCATATAATTCATAATTTCATTTATTCATTGTTTCTTCCATCCATCCATCGACTATTTTGTTTTCATTCACATTTTCATATTCCCATTATTCAATTATTTCATTTCATTTCAGGGTGATTTTTTTCCTGAATTAAAGAAAGACCCTCAACTGGTAACTATCATAAATTGAAGTACAATTTATTGAAGTACAATTTCAGTTATTCATATGAAAATCTTGAGTGAGTGTAGCTTTTCAACACTTGAAGATAATATTTGTATCTCCACGCATCCATGTAATATCCTTGATATCTACGGGAGAATACTCTTTATTATTTTATGCTGTCATTTTCTAAGGTGATTGATGTTATTAATGAAGAAGAAACACAATTCTTGAAGACCCTTGCCCGTGGTCGCCGTCTATTTGACCGAACTGCTAGTAAGATCAATGACAAGTGCATACCTGGTGATGTAGCGTGGAGACTGTATGATACTTATGGCTTCCCTGTGGATCTAACCCAGTTGATGGCCGAGGAAAGAGGATTAACKGTAGACATGGAGAAGTATGAGGAATCAAAGAGGAGAGCTCAGGTATATACTGTATGCTGAATTTAGGAATGACATTTTTTTTAAAGAAAGCATGTCAACATTAAATTTCCAGGGTCAGCCGGTATCTCCTATCATGAGATTTTGTTTATCTTTGACAAAAAAAAATGTTCTGCAATACAGGCAACAACTTCTCTTTATTATCTCATAAAATAATAATAATAATAATAAGATACTAAAACCAAGAGATAGAAACAGATTAGGAATGGATATTTGAAGACACCTAATTCCCATATTATTTGAAAAATCAAAAACACAGCCGATGAATTAGATGCCAGTTGATAACCTCCATCATTTGTTTAGGTTATACTTTGTCAAAAAAATGGAAATTTATAAAATGTTTTCACTTTAACTATGTTCCCTCTCACACAATGTCTAAGATAATTTGCCAATGATTTTGAGTGAGCTTAGCCCTTTGAACTCCTATGGCACCTGAAATCACCAGCTCGTTTCTTTATGAATTGAATCAGCTTGTTCGCAACTTTTGTTTCATAGAAAACAAAACAACTAAATCAACATTTAACAACAGTGAACAACAAAATTGAACTTTTTCATTGTGATTTTTAAGYAAGTACAAAAGTTGTTTCTGATAAAGTTCAGTTCTAATTCTATCATCTCTGATAGATGGGWTATCATATGATACAATATAAACTACAAACTATTAAATTTTTCAGGAAATAGCCAAAGGCAAGGGTGTTTCTAGTGATGAAGCCATTACATTGGATGTACATATGATTGATAAACTCAAAAAAGAATTGAGTCTTCCTCCCACTAATGATTCAGCTAAATATAACTATAAATCAGACAACCAAGGAGACTATGGTAAGATACAACCTCAACAACACCAATCACACTAGAAACAGTGTCAAAACAGCATTAAYAACACTAGTAACAACATCAACAAACACCATTAACAACACTGGAAACAGGCCAACAACACCATTAAATAGATAGAGCAAATGCAGACAACAAAAATGCCAACAACAACAATCACAACATTTGAAACAACAACAATAACAATGTCAACACCAGATACAACAACAACAACAACAACACTATCAACAAAACCAATCATTACAACAACACTAATCAATCTGAAAACAATCCCAATAACCCCTAGAATAACACTGAATTGCATCAAGAATAGTGATATATAATAACACAAGCGACAACAACAACACTATCACCACATCTTAAAACAACCACAACAATAATAACAGCAGCAACTTTATCAATGTCACCAATAACAACGATACATAGTAGCATTAACACCTACAATATCATCACCATCACCACCTCTTATAACAACAACAACAACAACAACAACAACAATAGATCCAGCAACCAACACCATAAAGAAATATTCAAAAAGAAATATAGCAAGGAAAACAAAACCTCTTTAATTTCATCTTTTTTTGCTCAGACTTTTTACCAACAACTGGTATAGTGAAGGCATTACTTTACCAAAAAGAATTTGTCCAAGAAGTACCAGGTGGTGTACACTGTGGAGTTGTCATGGACAAGACAGGCTTCTATGCCGAGCAAGGAGGTCAAATCTACGACCAGGGCTTCCTGGTCAAGGAAGGGGATGAGGTCAGTTTGTTGTACTTTGTTAGGAGTTATTATTAAGTCAATGGTGAAATGTCGATAGTTGTGATGATGGCTGACTGAGCATGCTCATAGTATTTGTAGCTATCATCCCACATTGCTGGGCGACATATAGCCATATTTACAACTTTTTTGTTTTGGAATCTAAACAGTATCCAGACTACCATGATAATAAAAGCTGTCCAGAGTTACTGACATACTGGTCTTGTTTTTGATAGTATTTTAAAATTAATCATAAATCGATAGAGTATACACACTGTAGCTTCTGGGTCTTTTATGAACAAGCATTGTTGGATCATATTTCAATTGAAATCTTGTTTTCCAGGAAGTAGAGTTCAAGGTCATGGATGTCCAGGTACATGGTGGTTATGTGTTGCACGTTGGTGCGTTGGAAGGAGCTCTGCGAGTTGGCGACAAAATGAAGAGTGTCATTGACGAGGTATGAAAATTCACCGCGCCATTTTTGCTTTTTCTTCTTAAAAATAGAAATGCTTATTCTGTCTTTACAAAGAAAACAGAAAAACGGCTCTTAGGGAGATCTTTTAAGGTCCGTTTACACTTGTGATTTTTGCAGTGCGATTGTCGCGCGATAATCGCCACTTTGCTATCGCGCAACCAAAATCGTACGTGTAAACAGTCCTGCGATGGTCGCGGAGATCGAAAATCGCCGCGGAGTTGCAGCCAATTTTCAAGCATGTTCGAAACTCAGGCGATGGTCGCGCGACGATCACCGCGAGAATCACTGTGTAAAAACCGCATGTGTAAACTTTTGGAGCTACGAAGAGTACGAGAACTACCACTCCTATCATGTTGTACAAAATGGTGTAGATGTATTGCCTATTAAACCACAATCTGCAAGAGTGATATTAACTCATTGTTTTTGAATCATTGTAGGAACGACGACGGCATTGTATGAATAACCATACCGCTACTCACGTTTTGAACTTTGCTCTTCGAAAAACGCTCACCGGCGATAGTGATCAGCGAGGGTCCTTAGTGGCTCCTGACAGACTACGCTTTGAYTTTACTTCAAAGGTRAARAAATGCTTATTTGTTTAGTTGSTAWATGYATCTCCYTTTAGCCTCCATTAWTWTTTTTTTCTTCATTTAATTCCTCCTTTTCATTTATTCTTTGTTTCAATTCTCAGTTCCACTTTTTATCGATTTATTCCTTGCTATTTTCTTTTCCCACTACCTTCTTTTTATTATTTTTTATTTCCCTCTTTCGTCCTTCCCAACTTTTCATACCTTTCTT